ATATTACTCTTTAATTTGAAAATGGGAAGCAACTTTGTAGTGAAACGAGTCAATGCACAACAGTTTGAATAATCCATTTAACATTTTAGTTATCTTCTATTGTCTGTGTGCCTTTTATACACCAGGAGAATAAACTTTTTTTTAAATGGTCCTCATTAGGACCATTCATGGCTGATGCTTACTCATTCTGGTTAACCAGTGGGGGTTGGAGCAGCTCTCCCTCAGGCACAGGCTGTTCCAGCTGGGCAGCCCCCCTGCCCACCTCTTTGTAATTGGTCAACTGGTTAAATGGGATTTTACATTGTAAGTCCTTATCAAGTATAGATTGTGATTGTTTAATGGTTGCAGGGAGTTTAAATTCTGTATTGAAGCAGATGCCCTTTGGGTATATTGGTCGCCCCTTCCCTGATACATTCTATTTCTCTAGTGGAGTGTCCTTACATTCAAAACCTGTTATGTATTAGAGTATATATCCTGGAATTTCTCCTTCGAGCATGTTCTGTGCAATCGGAGTACTTGGCTGTAGATTAGGGATGTAATAGTGTAGCTGATTATCTGTTTAATTGATAAGCAAAAGCTTATAGGTTAATGCTATAGAGTACACGCATTTCCCCTCCGTCCCCCCACCAGTAAATTTTTTAGCAGGCTGGCCAGCAGCACAGTTCACATTGGGCCCAGGACCTTCTTCTGCTGAGGCTCTTCATTTAAAGTGTATTAGGAGCTTGGCGGGCAGGCAGCCCGGCTTGCATTGAGTCCAGGAGCTCTCTCACTCTTGGACAGGGGCTGCTGCCACCTCACACTGCTGTCTCTGTATCAGAGGCAGCAGCTTTGGGCAACAGGCAGCTGGTCCGTGATGGGAGCTGGCTTTTAAACTGGCTCCCCTTGCACACCAGCGCCCACCTGGCACCCCCTCGCTCCTGCATCTGATACAGAGGCTGCAGCGCAGAGTGGCAGGGGGCTCCTCAGGAGTGGGGCCAGAGTGCACTGGCTGCTGGCCCCTCCCCCAAGTACTGTATAGAATAGGCAAGTAAGTGATAAGAATTCATGAGGTTAATCAGCTATTCAGTTAACTGATATTTAACATCCCTGCTGTAGATAAGATTTTTTGGTGTGTTTGGAGCAGTTACTAAATCTGTGAAGGTAGGTGTGGTGATCTATGGGTTTCTTGTACGTAGCTGTCTGTAGGATTCCATTCCTGAAGCTGATCCAGGTTTCCAAGAAGGAAATGCTAGTGTGGCACTGCTGTAGAGTTTGAAAGAAGAATTTATCTAGCTGGGGGAAAGCCAGTAGGAGAACATGCATTGCATCCCTTAGGAGCAGGCCTATTACTAGATTTTCTATGTCCTAGCAAAGAGGAGATGCTAAAATACAGGTAAGATCTGTTGAGAAACAGTCAAATGAAAAAGAGCCCCATTCAATCACATCATGTAATGGCAGTCAGCTAAAAAATGACAAGTTTTTAAAGTGCTTATATACAAATATTAGAAGTCTAAATAATAAGATGGGTGAACTAGCGTGCCTCATATTAAATGAGGGTATTGATACTATAGGTCTTACAGAAACTTAGTTAAATTAAGATAATCAATGGATGATTACCTGTTCCCTCTAGAGCACCTGGCATCAGCCATTGTTGGAAGACCGGATACTGGGCTAGATGGATCTTTGGTCTGGTCCATTATGGCTGTCCTTACGTTCTTCAGTGCATGGATGATGATTATTGAATTTGTAGTAAAAATCTATGAGTGGGCTATAGCTTGTCAATCCAGAGAATGAAAATATGATGTACCTCATTGTACATACCACAGGTATATAACTGGCTTTCTAGTCCATTTGTCCAGAAACTCTTCCTCGAGGTAGGCAGTGAAGAGGTGGGTATTAGGGATGTGAACAACTAGTTGCTTTCCCCCTTGCTGCCTCTATCAGAAAGAAGCAGCAAGAGGGAGCGGGGAAGAGGATAGGATGCTTCAAAGCAGCATTGCCGCGTGGAGCCCAGAGTCCGGCCTTGGGCTCCATGCAGCGCTGCTTGGGATGCATGTGGTGTTTCAAAACATCAGCACCACATGGGGCCCAGGGTCAGAGACGGAAGTTCCCCGCTGCTGATCCCAGGCGCCACAGGGCGCTGTCGCTTTGAAACGCTGCATGAAGCCTGATGCTGGACTCCCCAGGGTGTTTTAAAGTGGTAGCATCACATGGAGCCCAGGGTCAGACTCCCCAGCTGACCCTGGGTTCCATGTGGCGCTGCCACTTTGAAATGCCGCATGCAGCCTGGGGTCAACTGGGGACTGCTTGAGTTCCTCACTGGCTCCGTGATCCCCACAGCCCTTCCACCTTTGAAGGGTAGCAGCAGTCCTGGGACTGTTGATACCCTTCCAAGGCGGAAGTGCTCTTAATGACTAATCGCATCGACTATTCGATTAGCCAAATAATGAAAATTTTACATCCCTAGTGGGCATACTGGGGAGCCATTCTAGTATGCTGGCTGTTCCCATGGTTTGGACTAAGTGTTTGAATATAGAGTAAAAATTTTATCTGGCATATTATGGGAATGGGGGAAAGTGAAAAATGCTGGTTAACTAAGAGGAAAGGAGTTTGAGTGCAGATGGGCATGCGGTAGGGTTACCAGGTAGTCTTAAAAAAAAAAAAAATACTGGACACACTTGATCGGAGGGGGGGCTGGGACCGGGAAGCAGAGCTGGTCGGGGGCAGCAGGGCTGGCCGGGGGAGATCGGGAGGAGGAGAACCAGCAGGCGGGAAGCAGGGCTGGGTGGAGCAAATCGGCTGGCAGGGAGCGGGACCAAGCAACACCAGGTAACTCCAGCTAGTCATTAAATAAATCTCTTGTAAAGTTTCACCATATTTTGAATATCATTTTTCCTGAGGACAATGTAACAGAGAGTTTGGATTATGAAATATCCTACATGCACTCTTCAAAATATGCAATATGACAAAAAAAAGGTAAAAATTTTAAGACAAGATATTCAAATTCAGGAAGTAATTAGAGTACATTAAACAAAGTTAATGATTCACTTTAATAATAGGTTCAGAAGCCTGCATGCAATCTAAAAATAAGAAAACAATGAGCAGGTAATTGTAGCAGGCATCTTGAACTCTGAGTAATTAGTATGTGGGAAATGATTTACCAAGTAATGACATCAAAAGAAAAAACATAAATTGATATTTAAGAGACAGCTAAGACAGTTTTATAGAGGTGCATTATAATATATTGTTTCAAAAAGAGGTGGTGCTGAGAGAATCAAGTGCCTTTAACTTTATTACTTCCAAAAACATTAAATAAATAAAAGGAAATTGCCACTGTCAGATCAAGTCTATCTTTACTATAGTTGTTTTTAATCATCCTGATCTTGTTTTATTCATTCAGTGATAAGGTAGTGAAATTAATTTTTTCATACAGTTGGTGTTTCAAGTGTATGGCAGTCATCTTCACAGTCTGCCTCTAAATGCAGATGTGTAGATTACAGTAAAACTCCAAGGGTATGTCCAGACTACTGGGTGGCCTTTTTTTGAAAAAACTTCACCTGCGTCTAGACTGCTGCCGCGTTCTTTCGACATTAAATAGAAAGAACGCAACAGTTTTTTCAACCACAGAAAACCACATTTTACGAGGAATAACGTCTTTTTTCAAAAGTGCTCTGCGCCGGTGTGGGGCAACCCCACACTGGAGGGAGGCGAGAGAGGCCCTGGGCTGGAGGGTCCCCTAGCCAAGAAGCGCCAGGGGAAGATGCGCCAAACCCGCACAGAGGGGCAGTCAGGGCCACGATAGACACCGGCGCCAGCTCCGTAAGCGCCGGGCGCATTGAGGAGGAGGTGCCGGCTGGTGACGTCACCTGCCAAAGTGGCAGGACGTCTAAAAAGCTGACAGGGCCGTTTAAAAAAACCTTCAGGACTGCAGAAGGGAAGGAGACAAGCCTCCAAGGCGGCTGGGAGAGTGGGGAAGCGGGCGGACTGGTAAGCGCCTGGGACCGGGGAGTGCTGGAGGGGGTGCCAGAGCTGGGGCGCGTGGCACCTTAGGGAGTAGAGAATTCTAGGTTGTATCAACAGGTGTGTTGTAAGCAAAACTCGTGAAGTCATTCTGCCGCTCTACTCTGCGCTAGTTAGGCCTCAGCTGGAGTACTGTGTCCAGTTCTGGGCGCCACATTTCAAGAAAGATGTGGAGAAATTGGAAAGGGTACAGAGAAGAGCGACAAGAATGATTAAAGGTCTAGAGAGCATGACCTATGAAGCCAGGCTTCATGAACTGGGCTTGTTTAGTTTGGAAAAAAGAAGATTAAGGGGGGACATGATAGTGGTTTTCAAATATCTAAAAGGGTGTCACAAGGAGGAAGGCGAAAATTTGTTCCTCTTGGTTTCTGAGGACAGGACATGGAGTAATGGGCTTAAAGTGCAGCAGGGGAGGTTTAGATTGGACATTAGGAAAAAATTCCTACCTGTCAGGGTGGTCAAATATTGGAATAAATTGCCAAGGGAGGTGGTGGAATCTCCCTCTCTGGAGATATTTAAGAACAGGTTAGATAGACATCTGTCAGGGATGGTGTAGACGGAGCTTGGTCCTGCCTTGAGGGCGGGGGGCTGGACTCGATGACCTCTTGAGGTCCCTTCCAGTCCTATTATTCTATGATTCTATGATGATACTGAACTTAAAAAAAAAAAAAAAAAAAAAAAAAGATCTCTTGCTCTGATAACTCTAAGTGAATGGATTTTCTTTAAACTCTGAAGTTAGAAAAGAGAAACTTCCACTATGTAGTAATCATGAGATTTCAATCCAAAGAATAACAGTGAGAAAGGGACTTGCAATTAAGGTACTAAATATTAAATCTATTAATATAATATTACTAGAATGTAATAAGATTGATTATTTTTAGAACCCCTTTTCAGTTCTGAATCTACAAAGCTCCCTTGCAGCATTGAAAACAATTTTCCTGTGTGCCTTCCCCTACCAGCTTCAGTACCTTTCAGGCAGGGGAGGGGCATTAGCAGCATGGGGTCTTGCTAGAACATGCATGTTCGTGAAAGCGTTATTTTTTCTTCTTGTTACTACTTTGAACCCCCTGCCATGTGATTAGCACTGCAGTTCTACTATGTGCTGGAGGCAAAATGCACTGAGAATAATACCCAACGTTTGATGAAAAGAATAGGAAAAAAACTTTCTGCAGTAAGAAACATGATTGAAAAATCCTGCTGGGAGTAGGGTAGAACTGAATAACTGAACAAAACGAGAGATTATTCTTGACAGGCTTAAGTGGGTCAAAGTTTTTTAAATGTTGCATTGATTGAGTAACTTGTCACTTTTTTCCTGCAGTTTTCTTGATTACTCAAGGGGAAAATCCAGATTCACCAGTTGTTGTTGGACAGAACACAGTTCTATTCCAGAATGCCAGCAACAGCATATACTTATATAAAGTAGCACTGATTCTAATTAGATTTTCACTACTGGCAATGTCACATGAGCTGTTCTTCAGAAGCTAGCTTTCATTCAGAAGAAAGTAAAACAAGAATAATAGAAACCATGGAGGCTCACAAGAATGGACTATGCTACCAGTGAAAGAACTTGTGGGTGAGACCTTTTCACATATGTAGAAAATTTCCGGTCACAAATGAAATAAAAACACTTATGTAAAAATAAGTGGCACATACTCCCTTGCCAAATCACCATTCATTGTTGGCCCTTGTCTGCACTACAGAGTTTTGTAGACAAAACAGTGAATGCATACATACTACGATGTGCCTGTTGACAACAAAAATGCCCTGTTTTGGTGACAAAATAAAACCATTCCAACAAGAGACATAAGATTTGTTTTGTGCCAAATTATTTGGCAAAATGCCAGTATAGACACAACACTTGATTTTTATCACTTTAATTGATCTCTAAGAGGGGTCCCCCAGTGCCCAATCTGACTGCTGTGGTCAGCAGTCTGAACTCTGCTGCCCTGCAACTAGGTAAACAACCATCCGTTCCTCTCCCTTAGAACTCCTAGGATTTTTGAAATTGCATTTCCTGTTGGCTTGGCATGGAAAGGACTCTTTTTGCATCTTCTCAGGTAACCATGGAAGCTTAACACAGCAAATTCTCTCTTACTTGGACTGTTGCAGAGCTGCTGAATCTGTTCAGTAGAAGAGGAGGCTGTGCAGCCCCCAGCTGTGCTTGAGCCATAGAAATTTTGATAACTGGCCAGTTGTCTTGAGGCTTGTGCAAAAAGGGCTATGATTGGGACACGCTACAGAACAGAGTGAAGATAAAGGAACTGCATCAGGTGTTCATAAGTTAAGGGAGGTAAACTATCACACTGGAGCTGCACCTAAGAATTGGTTCTACCAGGAGCTTGATGGTGTCGTTGGTGTCAAGAGCCACATGGATATTTTTGCAGGTCTGGGGAGGGTGAAGTAATTAATGAAGAGATGAAATTAGATGATTATGTGGAACTCCTGGCAGCGTTGTCCTGGTGACTGCACTACGGGGCACCACCATTTCCCAGCACCATTGTATTAATGCAGTCACAGTGGTTAAATTCCTGACTCCAAATTTATTTACGACCAACGAGCAACAGTTTGGAGTAACCAGCTTCCACACTGAGATTGCTGTGTACTTCACCACAGGGCAACTCTGATTCTGTTGTTGTTATGCTGCAGTGCAACGTTCTTCACGCAGTTCCAAGAAGGTGGCTTTCCGCATCTGAAAATTCTGTGGCCACTGCTTATTATACCAGACCTGCATAACAGGACGATCCACCATACAGTGCTTGTTTGTCACTTTTGGGCTCAAGAATCTACAATCTGCAGCTGATGTATGAATGCCAAAAACAATCTAAAGTTGCTTCTGTCCTAATCACGCTGCAGGTCTGGAAACTGAGAGCCTTCTTCAGTTAGGAGCTTCATGATTAACTACATTGCATCCACAATGTCTCAAGGACCATCATCAGAGCATAGGAAGCAGTGTGGGATCCATCCTGTCACACGGAGATGTCACGGAGAATATCAAACAAGGGCTGTTGAAAAATGCTCGGAGAAAGCCAGAAACCTATGGAATGCTGGATCAGAAATCAGTGCCTCATAGAACACTGAGCCTGGTACCAAGATGCACCACGAGACACACTGCCTCTCACAAAGCCTAATAGTAGAAGGTGTGGAGGTGGACTATGGGATAGGTTCCCACAGCTGACTGTCCTGTCTGGGGTTGTTTAACTCCTCTGGGGCTATGGCTGAGGATGGTATAGCTGCATGGCTGGAAGGAGCTGCCGGCATGGAGGCACTGACTCATGGGAGCAGCGGTACCACACTTGACTCCTTTCGTTGCAATGTCTCCTGGAAGTAGAGTTCTGTGGATACCAATTTCTATCTACGGATATTTGCTTCTGTGAATAGACATTTGTATTCATGCAGGGCTCTATCTGTGGAGCCTTCCCCTCTGGGAAAAAAAAGTCTTCCCTACCAGGGAAAGACTCCAGCAGTTAGGAAAGGCTTCCCTGCTGCTGGAGCCCTCTCCCTTCAAAGGGAGAGATACTGATGGGAGGGAAAGGCTCTGTGTCACCTCCCCACTACTGGAGCATTTCCCTTCCATGGGGAAAGCTCTGCAGGGGGAGGCAGCTGGGAAAGGCCCTTGCCTTTCCTGCTGCCTCCCATCTACCTGAACTTTTCACTGATGTTATATGCCACAGTGTGGTTGCAGCCTGCTTTTCACTGCAGCATGTAGTTGTGCTTATATGTCATGTAGGTTGTGGTGGCAAACCATGTGCATAGTGTAGATGTAGCCAAGTGGTAATGATGGGGGAGGGGAGATTGTAATTGTATATTACAATTCTAGCTGTCTTGTTCAAGATGTACAGAATGGTTTTATTCATTTCAAAGGATAAAGCATAAAATCTGCTTTCATTTCTTGTTTGCAGGTTCGTATGTCCTGGGAAAGAGACTCCAGCGAAATACGCTACAAGAGGCTTCAACACTTGCTTGAAAAAAGCAACATATACTCAAAATTCTTGCTAACTAAAATGGAGCAGCAGCAGCTGGAGGTAGATATGTTCTAAGTTTAAAAAAATATTTATAGAGCATTGTAAATGCTAATCTGCACTAGGGAATCTTACCATAACTGTTCCCTTAATGCAAGATTCTGATGTCTTTGCTATTTTGTTACTTAAACCCAGGTAAAAATGCCAAAAACTATTATAGCCCTATCTATATTATAGCTCCTTCTCAAGTGTTTAATTTTTAAGCTCCGAATATAGTAACAACTTACAAGTGCCACACTCCTTTGCATAACCATTGATATTTTTAAAATAATCTGAAGCCATTCCCAAAGAGTTTGTATTCCAACTAAGGTTTATGTTAAGAGAATAAATCAGCAGAATTCTTGTTAATGGAATTAGTCTGAGGGGATTTGGAAGAGAGGGATAGGCCTCTGCAACAGATTAAGGGTGCCTCTGCACTGCATCCTTAGTTTTTGCATAGCTTATTTCAAGTTAATTTTGAAATAGCTTATTTTGTAACTTGGCACTGTCTATACAGCATCAAATTTCAAAATAAACCACTATTCCAAAACATCCCTTAATCCTCGTGGAACGAGGTTTACAGGGACATCGGAATAGCAAACTCGTTACGTTTTGAAATAATGGGCTTGTTTCAAAGACATGGATTAGCTATTTTGGGATACCAGAAATATCCAGGAATAGCGCCACAGTATAGACAAACCCCAAGAGACAACATTGAAGAAGGTGAGAGAAACCAGACCTGAAAGGAGGAGGATGGCGCAAAGATACAAGCTAGAAAAAGGAGCAAGAGCTGAAGTAAGCATTGTGCAAATCATTGAAAGTTTAGATAAATGCAAAGTAATACATATTGGAAAACATAATCCTAATTATGCACACACAATGATGGGGTCTAAATTATTACCACTCAGGAAAGAGTTCTTGGAATCATTGTAGATAGTTCTCTGGAAACATCCACTCAATATGCAGTAGCAGTCAAAAAACAAATAGAAAGTTAGGAATAATTTAGAGAGAGAGACACAGTAAGACAAGGAATATTTTATGCTTCTATATAAATCTGTGGTATGCCCACATCTTAATTCTTGTGTGCAGATATCGTCAAATTATCTCAAAAAAGATATCTTAGTATTGGAAAAAGTTCAGAAAGGGGCAACAAAAATGATTAGGGATTTGGAACATCTGCCATAAGAGGAGAGAGCGAAAAGACTGGTCTTTTTCATTTTAGAAAAGAGGAGACTAAGGAGGGATATTGATGGATGTTTATAAAATCATAACTGATGTGAAGAAAGTAAATAACGCAAGAATTGGGGGAGGGGGAGTCACAAATTAAATTAAGTAGCAAGTTTAAAACCAAAAAAAGGAAGTTTTTCTTTACACAGTGCACAGTCAGCCTGTGGCAGTCCTTGCCAGGGGATGGTGTAAAGACCGGACTTTAACAGGATTCTAAAAAGAACTACATTAATGGAGGATAAGTCCATCAGTGGCTATGAGCTAGGATGTTTAGTAATGGTGTCCCTAACCTCTGTTAGAGGCTGGGAAAGGGTGACAGGGGAGGGATTACTTGATGATTACCTATTCTGCTCCTTCCCTTGAGGCACCTGGCATTGGCCACTGTGGGAGGATGGGATGCTGGGCTGGATGGACCTTTGGTCTGACCTAGTATAGCCGTTCTTAGGAATTAAGCTTTAACTTTTTAAAAAAGGCAAGAGGATTTGAGAGGATGTATATGGTCAGATGTGGGAGAGAGAGCGTTAACTTTGGTAGACAAGGGCTTTTTTTCCCAAATGGTGGAAACTTCATTCTTAAAACTATTGATTGGAACAATCTGCAGTTTTTACACCTAAATGCATACTCTGAAAGGATATTTTGCTTGATATGTTCCTATTTTAAAATGTCATTGCTCCATGTTACATGTACCAAAGATCTTTGAGGATTCTAAGAATTCCAGACTGAAAAGTGAGACAGTTTTAACAGCACTTAACTTTTAGAAATCTTCCCACAGTCCAGTTCAAATTAGGGATGTTAAAATGCTGTTAATTGACTTGTCGATAGGCACTTCCACATTCCTCCTGCTGGGGCTCTTGTACATTTCAAAGGAAGAATGCAGAAGTCCCACTGGGGACTCTTGTGCATTTCAAAGCCATGGAGCCCAGGGTCAGCGGGTGACTCCCCCAGCTGACCCTGGACTCCACAGTTACCCCTTTGAAACGTGCAGAGACCAGAGACCGTGTTTCAAAGGGGCAGTTGCTGCACAGCTGATTTCCCCCTTCCCTCCCCCAGCTCAGCTGTGCGACGCTGCCCCTCTGCATTTCGAAGAGGCAGCCATGGAGTCCAGCAGCAGCTGCCCCTTTGAAACATAGTCTTAGTGTTTCAAAGTGGTAGCGCCGCACAGCTGATCCCTGGCTCAACTGTGCAGTGCAGCCACTTTGAAGTGCCCCTTTTCTCCTTCCCTCCCTTCTCTCTCCTCCCCCGTTTGCTGCCCCTATCTCATAGAGGCAGCAAGGGGGGGATGGAATCAGATAGTCAACTAGTCTTTAACATCCTTAGTTCAAATGCAGCAAAAGCAACAATGTGTAAAATGAAGTGCAGCTGCATGTCCTGCAAAAATTGATTTCAGGGAAGGTGCTATGTTTAAGCCATTAGTTTTATGTAAAATATATACTTAACTAGCTTACTCGTGTCATGTCTTTTGCCTTAAAATATTTCTGATATACAGATTTTCTGTTGATTGAGTTAAATTATCCAGCAAAAGGCAGTTCAAAATAATTCTGTACACCACTGCCAAGTAATTTCAGCTACTTATCAGCTTTCATCTTGGCACCAACAGAAGCAAAACCTGTCCCCAGCTTACATTGTTAACATGGAGTTGTGTGTACTCAGTGTCTGTTAATATAGTATTTTTATAATTAGATTTATTGCTGTTGTTCTATGAAAGTAAGAACTTTGTTTTTTTAGGAGCAGAAAAGGAAAGAGAAATTAGAAAAAAAAAAAGAGATGTTACTAAAAGCGTCAATGGTAAGATGTGTTGGCTGTTTTATATAAATTGCTTTTCAGTGATGGCATGCTGCAAAACTGTAAAATGATCAGTCTGATAAATACACTAAAATTGAGACAGTGATTAAGACTTTGGGAAAGGCTTTATGATGCAGTACCGTATATACTCGAGTATAAGCCGAGTTTTTCAGCACAGTTTTTGTGCTGAAAAATGCCCCCCTCGGCTTATACTCGAGTCAGCATCTCGAGAACTGAGGCGGGCAAAGCCGCAGAGGCGCGGGACACC